AACCATAAAATGTGTATTATCCTGCATTGCTCTAAAAGGACTTAATGAATTGAAATGTTTCACATAAAAATGTTAAATAATGTATGTGAGTCCACATTCAAACAAGCAACAATAAAAACTATGTCTTTATTCTTTGCACAACTTCTACTGGTAGTAAATTCTACTCATACTCCAAAACTTAAAAGCCTTCCCTGATTTCCTAAACTAAGCTGGCTCCCAAAAATGTATTCCCTTCCATTACGGTAAGTTACCAATCCAGTAGCCTACTTCCCTGGCCAATATGCTAGTTCCATGAAAATGACTGTGTCTTTTTTATCTACTGAATAATCTTAAACCTAGTAACAAAGAAAAGGCTTCAGTAAATACGTCCTAAATAAAGGAAATCAACAAAACGTATTTTATTTGTACATTTCAAATGAAAAATGCATTTTATCAAAAAATCTGCAAACATTATAGATTATTTAATACAGCACACCTTTACTTTCATTAGAAATGCAAAGTTAGTCTGCTTAACCAGCAGCAAAAATACCAAATCATTTTTTTCAGAAAGAGCTTATGTCTGAAGAAAACTTAAAAAAAAAAAAAAGAAAAACTAAAGAAAATTAAACTGTGAGTTAAAGGAAATTTTCATAAATTCAGTGTTTAGGTGTCAGGGCAATTAATATTGTAAAAAGAGTATCTCCTTAAGGCAAAAATGTATCCTAGTTTTTTGATCTAACTACTAAATTAGTTCTTAGCATACAGCCTGTAGAGCATTAGCACTCCTCAAGACCATTTCATGGTTAGGGTTAAGGTTAGGTTCATGAAATCAGAACTACTTTAACAACAGTGCTAAGACATCACCTGCTTTTTTTTTCCATTTTGTTCTCTCACATACACACTATGGTGTTTCTCCAGCCATCATGTGATGTGTGATACACCAAGACTGAATACAAAAACAAACCTTAGAATCCAACTTCTTCCATTAAGACACAGTGTCACAGGAGTTGGGGGTGTAGCTTCTCATACTGTGCTTAGCTACCAGAAGCCTTGGGTTTGACCCCAGCATCACATACAAAAGCAAAAATGCAGGATCTCAAGTTCAAGCTCAGTCTGACAAATAGGGAAACCACTCTCAGAGAAAGGGCAGGGAGGACAGAGGAGACAAAAAGTCCTGGATTTCCCAGTAATTGTTTGTTTGTTTATTTGTTTGTTTTGTTTTTTGAGACAGGGTCTCTTCATGTAGTTGAGACTGACCTTGAACTCATATGTAACCCAAGCTGGCCTCACACTCACAACAATCCTCCTGCCTCACCCTTTCCAGTGCTGAGATTACAGGTGCATGCCACTATGCCCAGTCCCAATAATTTCTAAGAAGTAAAGGGATCCTAAACAAGAAGGTCTGAGAGTCCTAGCTTATACTGTCAAAATTTCAATAAAACAACTAATTTGGTTTTCTCAAAGAATGAATTTAAAATAGAACACTGAGGGACTCCACAGATGTAAAGTGAGTAAAGGAATACAGTAAACCCAGCGTGCTAGTGCACATCTGTAATCTAGCACCAGGAGGCTAAGGCAGGAAGATCATCTGAGTTTGAGAACAGTCTGGACTATGTGGTAAGTTCAAGGCCAGCCTGGACTACCTAGTGAGGCCCTGTCTCAAAAAAAAACTGACACCCCCTCCACAAAAAAAAAAAAAAAAAAAAAAGGATTACAGTAATTAATCACAATAAATGAACTTTACTTGGACCTTGAATCAAACTAATAACTGAAGGGAAAAGCTAACAAAACACTGGCTGCATATTTGATTATTTTTTAGGTGACAAAATCTGTAACTGCTGAAGCCAGATGTTGATTATATGCCGTTTATATCTGCCATCTTTCATAATAAATTTCTTTGACCAGCCTAATAACTGATAATTTAAATCTGCCATTCTAAACTGTTGCAAAAATCACTTTAAATTACAGAACTTACTGGGGATGAGAAAAATCCATGAAAAGGGACGAGAAAGGTTATATACCTAAAATATAATTCAGTAACTGTCTTCAAAAACACAATAAATATATATGCTCAAATTTATAGTCAGTGTGAAATCATAAAATCCTTTTACCCTTTACTTCTTCAATTCTAACTCTAAAGGAAACAAGTAATAGTATTAGACAATACAAAAGCAACTGAATTTTCAATTCAGAATAAAATTGCTTCATTTTAATGATTTACACATCTATATGTTTTAAAGTATTTTTGAAAATACTTTTTTATTTTTTGGAAAACGAATTAGAGCAGCGAAGAATATGCAGTATTTAGCATCTGATCAAAAATCTTGCTAGTGAGTACAAATTCAACAAATACTTAGGCTTTTAAGTCTGCTGGAGTTAAAGGAGCTAAAAACGGAAAAAGAAAAGCATAAAGAAACCATTACTTCATAACCAATATGTGACACACACACTCCAATTTCCAGTGCAATACAAAGTTATAGTTTTCTGAGTACACCACTAGTGATTACCATTCTGAAGTTGATGAACAAACTGCCCAGCAGTGAGAGGACACTTTGCTTTGTTCTGCAAAGGCAGTCAAATGTCAAGGAAATGAAACCCTTAGTGAACTAATACAGAAAACATGAGAATTATAGCAGCAGCACATTCACCGTCACTGTCATCATTTGCACTATCACCATTCTCCTCTTAACGCATCTATTTGTATGCCTCAATTTTTCCTAATTATGAAGCATTTAAACAGATATCATTTGCTTGTATGTTTCAGACAGGGTCTCATTGCAGTTCAGACTTGATCTGAACCGCTCTGTAGCCCAAGGTGGCCTCCAACTTCCAACCCTGTGCACCACTACATAAGGCACTATTTTAGAATACAGTGTTAATTACTGCCATGTGTGTTCTACTGTATCCAGAGGTACATGTAAATAACGGAGTACCACTTTCACCTCTTTATGTTTTACCAAATGGCATTCTGGTCTGTACTTTGTTTTATAATTTTTGTTTGTTTGTAGACAGGTTTTACTCTGTAGCCCAGGCTGGCCTTTAACTCACTATGCAGCTTAGACTAGCCTTGAACTAATGGCAATCTTCCTACCTCAACCTCCAGAATGCTGGGATTACAGGTGTGTGCCACCACACCAGGCGCTGCTTTAAGATTCCCTGTGCTTTTAACTTTACTTTTTATTAATATATATTTGTCATACATATTGATCACATTCACTATAGGGATTCTGCACCTGTACCTAACATATCTTAATTGTTTTTTTTTTCTATTCCCCCTTCCCTTCAACCTTTCATCCCCTTATAAAAAATGTTTCCATTTTTTTCCTTTTCCCTTTCTCCTTCTCTCTGTTGTTTCTCTTCTCATTTGAACTTGTTCTTCCTGTGTTAGTTTTTAATTGTTATGTGGTTTTATGTAGTTTGAGTTAGTTTATGAAAACTGCTGGATAGTATTATATATGAATACCACAATTGTCCATTCTCTAATGCAATGTTTAAATTGTTTCCATTTTTATTACAGGGCTGCTGAACAACTGTGTGCATATATTTGCTTTTAGGATACGGTCCTATAAAGGGAACTGCTAAGTCAAACAGTATATTCCTTCAGCTTCATTAAAGGCTGCTAAACTGATCTCCAAAATGGTTATATCTTTTTAAATTTTCACCAAGCAATGCTAAGTGTTAGTTATTCATTAACCTCAATACAGTAGTTTCTGGTAGTTTGTTTGTTTTTTTTTTTTTTGGGGGGGGGGACGACAGGGTTTCACTATGTAGTTCAGTCTGCCTTTAACTCACTATGTAGCCCCCAGGCTGGCCTCCAGTTTTAGAGGATCCTCTTACTTCATCCCCCTGAGTGCTTGGATTACAAAAAGTGCTGAGACTACGGGCGTGTGCCACCACACTAGGCTGGGACGACATTTTCTTAAACACAAGCAAATTACACCAGTACACGTAATTCTAGCACTCAGGAGGCTGAGGCAGGAGGATCGCTGCGAGTTCGGACCAGCCTTAATGAGTTAAAAAGCAGTCTGCACTACAAAGTGAGACAGAGACTCAAAAACAAAACAAAACAAAAAAAGACAAATACAGTTTGTCTCCAATCCATACAGCTACAAGGCATTCACATCAGCCAGTAATGAAGCAACTACTTTGATTAACGGCTTATTAAAATCCTTAACAATTACATCCATCAGAATATCTGAAACAATAAGGAAGAAATTCACTCTGCCAAATGAATTAAGAAGATACGAACTAAGCAGATGAGTTTAAATTTTCAGTCGCCCTAACATAAATCAGGCCTTTACAGATGCAGGTGCTCTGCAGAAGTAAACTCAACTTCGTATATTTTAGCAACATATGTTTGCTCAAATTTTCCTTCATTTACAGAAGCATCATCAACTGTTCTGTAAACTAATGACGCTGCTTAAACGTAATATAATCAAAGAGCAGGAAGGGCCCTTAAATCACTTAAACTGACGCCTCCATTTTTAGGTGAGGCATCTACAATACGAAAGTTGTAAGAAATTTTCCAATCCAGATCCTCTAAAATTTACAAAGTCAGGCCTCTTTCCATTGCATCACGAGACTTTTTTTAGACTCCGAGTTCTAGCATTTATTTATGCCTATTAATTTTTTAAGTGTAGGCTGATACGTTCTAGAAATGATGGAAGTAAACACACACCGATCTTTTCATTTCTCGACCCTTTCCTTCTCCTAGCCTCCATTACAACCCACAGAATGAAAACAATAACTGCCTGAGTTTCTGGCCCTAACTGGATGCAGCGTCCCAAGACTCTGTACTAAATTGGTCGAGTTTGCATTATTATTAATTTCTCCATCCGATAAATAGGCACTAAGCGCAGGCTTTGCAGGAAGCGCGATGCAAGTCGCTGCCCCCGACCCGCGGAGCCCCGCGCGAGGGCACGGAGACTGCTCTCCCGACGCAGCGACGCAGGGACGCCCGGGAGGGGCACCCAGGGAACACAGCAAGCGGCGGTCAGCACCGAGCGGCGAGGGACACTCACCTTTCCGCAGCTCCCGCTCCCACACCGTGACGATGGGCCGCGAGTGCTTACGGTGGTGGATGAGCCACAGGGACAAGGTCTGCACGCTCTGCTGCGAGTTGCTCAACTCCGACAGCTTCTTCTCCAGCGCCGCCTCGGAGAAGGCGGACATCCCTCCAAAAACACGTCCACGCCGTCCCACGCAGAAGGGCCAAAAAGAGGAGAACTCTGTCGCCCTCGTCGCGGCCTCGCCCACTCACCCCACCCTTCTCCACGCCCTCACCGCAGCTGCCGCCTCCACCACTTCCAAATCCGGCCGCAAGCTAGCAAGATGGCGTCCCGCCGGCAGTGACGTCACGGCCGGCGCGTGCCCCGCCCCTCCCGCGGCTGGTCCTGGGAAAAGTCTCGGCCGGGAGGCGGAGCCGCCGGGCGGAAGGGGCGGGCCTGAAAGTAGTAAGGGCGGGACGCCTGGGTCAGGACTAGAGGCAGTTGGGCGGGGCTGCGAGTGTTTTTGACAACATTGATTACAGATCGCGGTGCAGCAGCTCTGGAAGACTACTTCCGTAGTCGTGACACTTCAAAATGCACCATAAACCAACACCGTGGAAAGAGCCTGGAGACCTGAATACTCTACGAGGCTGAGACAAGAGGATGGCTTGAGTGCAAACCGGGCAGTGTAACAAGATCCTGTCTCAGATGAAATAAACAAACACTAGTTAAGGTCTGAGAGTGTAGTTCAGTGATGCTTCACTCGTGGGAAGTTCCAGGCTCAGTCCCCAGAACCAAAAAAATAAAAATAAACTAGTGAGTGGGCATGTGGGGGTGATGAGGCCGAAGCCAGATGCTGAGATTAGTCTTTCCAAGAGATCCAGTGTTTGGCTGATTTTCTTTCCCAAGCTCAGCCATATGCATTCCCTACCTTCCATGCCACCTCCCACGCCTACTGTATGGTCCTAGCTGTGCTGAATACTGTACTATCGTCAGCACCTTAAACCAGTTTTGTTTTGTTTTGTTTTGAAATCTTCAAGCCCAGATAATACAAGGTCCCTTGTGTCCTTGATTCCGCTTACCTCTACAACTAAGACCCTGGATGATTGTACTCCCTTTGTCACACTCACACTACTTCGTGTGTGTGTGGGTGTATAATCCTGGCCATATAGAATGCAGATGGAAGCCATGCTGTTGTACAAGACTAAGAAAAGAATGACTCCTGGTTAAGTTTATAGTCCTGTTTTTCCCAGAGATAACTGGAACTATACTTCTCTGTACATCATTTTTCAGCCTCAGGAACATAATTTGTCAACTGCTGTGTAGTGATACCAGACCCAGCATTACATAGAAAGAAACACGATTCAGAGGAGAAAAAAATATTTATATATGTATATATATATACATATATATACACACACACATAAGGAAAATACAACTTCTGTGCAATTTCACCGATTGCTACCAATGCTAGAGAAACACTGGTGTGTTTGCGCCAGGAGATGCAAGCCAGGTGTTGAATCCAATGTAGCGGCAATGAAAAACTGAGACATTCACAGCAGATAAATGGCTAAATTGTGACCCATCTGTTTATAGAGTATACATAGAAATGTAAAAGATAAATCAGTGGTGCACATCTGTCACCCCAGAACTCTGGGAGGATGAGGCAAGAGGATCAAACAGAGTTAAAGCTATATTTCAAAGTGAAGGCCCCTGGTTCAATCCCCAGTACCACAAAAAAGCAGGCAGGCAAGTCTAAACACAGTGGGTTTGAGTTTTTAATAGTGGTCGCAGGAAGAGGATCAAAATTGGAACCTTTAGCTGGGCATGATGGCACATGCCTGTAATCCCAGCACTCAGGAAGCCGAGGCAGGAGGATTCAGAATCAGCCTGGGCTACACAGTGAGAACTTGTCTCAAAAACACCCCCAAACAAAAAACAAAAAATTTAAACCCTGAAACTTTGCCTTATATTTTTGTTTCTATTAGGATAAGAGGTTCATATATTACTCACATGACAGTTAAAATTTTTTTGTTTTGTGTTTTTGCGACAGGGTCTTGCTGTATAGCCGAGGCTGGCCTTGAACTCACTATGTAACCTAGGCTGACTTCAAACTTGAAGTGATCCTCCTGCCTCAGCCTCCTGGGTACTGGAATCACAGGCATGCGACCCCACGCCTGGCTACCATAGTTAAATTTTAACTCCAAGGGACTGGGGACGTAGCTCAGTGGGACATAGCTCAACATGTGTTTTACATGTGCAAGACTCTGAGTTCAATCCCAACTCAACAACAACAAATGTTAACAAATTTTAGAAATCTCGATTTTTTTTTTAAACCAGGGATTGAATTTACCACCTTACACTTGCCAGAGTAGGGGCTTACGACACTAAGCTAAACCTCCGGCCCTCAGAAATCTCAGTTAATCCAGAATATTTTGATACAACACTTGCCTTAACTATGAACATTCACAATGGATACAAAAAGATGGACTTTGTCATATTCTAAAGATTAATACAAGAAACTTCCAGAAACATGCATTTTAAAAAAACCACAAAAATCCCTAAACCTCCTACTGGATGTGTTGGCACACACTTGCAATCCTAGCACCTGGGAGGCTGAGGCAGGAGCCCAGCTCTGATTTCAAGGCCAGCCAGGGCTACATAGTGAGGCCCTTCCTCAAAAGAAAAAACATCCCTGCCTAAATCATCTTTTGAGAAACACCATTCTAGAACTTTGTACCAAATAGGCATCAAATGTGTTTATTAAGTTCTTTGGCTATGCGTATAGTTTATCTTTCCCATTTTTCTTCCCTTTGTTAAGGAATAGGCTTCAGCAGAAAATCTTTCCCATTTCTCATGGCATGGCCAGTTAACGTTCAGAGAGAGCTGAAGATGTGTCGTAACTCTTTTGTTCTCCTCTCACTGCGATGTCTATTCCTGCATTTACATCCTTCACTGCCCTATAGTGTCCTGTTTTTTCAATCCACTTAGTCTAATTTTTAATTTTAACATAAGTGGAGTTTAACCTACACATCCTCAGAAACCTAATCGTATCTTTAACACTATTCCCTTCCGTGAACTAACTCTACAGCCACCCAAATTGCTATTTATGTTAGGCCAATTTCTGTCTTCACCTGAGATTCCAACCCTCCCACTCTTCATATCTCAATTTTACCTAAACTTTAAAAAGAAAGTTAACCCAAGCGTGGTGGCTCATGGCTGGTATCTCAGCACTCTGGGAGCCTGAGGCAGGAGGACAGCAAGTTCTACCACAGCCTGGGGAACTTCGCAATTTAACAAGATTCTATTGAAAATTTTTAAAAAGGCTTGAGAGTATAGCTCAGTATGGTTCAAGTAGTAGAGCCACAAAAACAACAACACAGCACTTTACATTCCAGCCTATTTTGTTTTCATTACTGGGGATGGAACCGGCCTTTACAGTGAGGTACATACACTGCTTATTTATGTATTTATTTATTTATTTATGTCACTTGAGACTGGGTCTTGTTAGTCACTAAGTTGCCTACACTGGGCTCAAACTTGCAAACCTGCTGCATCAGCCTCACAGTGGACTGGGATTGCAGATGTGAACCCACATACCCCACTCAGCCTTGTCTGTTTTCCTACCCAATCCAACTGGATGTAAGATTTCTTTCCTATGTTGTTTATTGATCCGTATGTTTTGTTTAGCATGTACACTACCAGTCTGTGTTATTTATAATATAATGTATATTCTTTCTTGCTAGCTGGGTTTTTCTGTCAGTGACTCAGTTAAAACAACTCTTCCGTCTCCTTTGCTTTTCAGACTGACTTTGCTGTTCCTGCTGTAAACTCCCACTTCTGCTGTACATGAGTGTGCCTTGGCTCTGTTTCAGCTTCTTAGATCTATACTTAGTTGACACTGTTACTTCTTTCTGTAGTTTCACAATGTCTGTTATAACTATGTCATAGATATTTATGACTTATTTTGCATCTTATATCCAAATAGAAGGAAAAATTATCCCTACTCATAGAAGAATTTATTTCGTATCTTTAAGATATAGAAATCTTAAGGACCCAGATGATTGAGGCAGAAGGACTGCAAGCTCACGCCCAGCCTAGACAATTTAGTGACCTAGTAGGATCCTGCCTCCCAAGGACCAAGCATGTGACTCAGGGAAAAGTCTCTGGATTCAATCCCCAGTACAGACATAGAGAGAGGGAGAGGGAGAGGGAGAGAGAGAGAGAGAGAGAGAGAGAGAGAGAGAGAGAGAGAAAGAGAGTTAATAAACAAATTCACAAAGTTGCAGGATACAACACAAAATATGCACCAGCAATAAATGAGTTGCAAATAAAATTAGAAAAACAATGTCATTTATAGTAACATCAAAAAGAATAAAACACAGAAATATAAACTTAAACAAGGAGGTGCAAGACCTATATAATGGGGGGCTGGGGATTTAGCTCAGCGGCATAAGCACCTGCCTTGCAAGCAGGCGGTCGTTAGCTCAATCCCTGGTACCGATAAAAATGAAAAAGACAAAAAAAAAAAAAGACCTATATAATGAAAACCACAACATATTGGTAAAATAAAGACCAAAATGTTAGAAAGACATTCAATCTTCATTGATTGAGGGACTTAATAATCCTTGGGCAGTATTACCCAAATCAATCTTCAGATTCAGGGCAATCCATACTAAATTCACAATGGCCTTTTATGCATAAATGGAAAAAACTAACCCAATATAGAATTGCAAGCAACCCAATAATCTTAAAATCTTGAGAAAGAAAAATAAAGTCAGAAGACTTACACTTTCCTATTTCAAAAGGTACTTCACTAGAAAAAGGTGGTGGATAGATAACAACTGGCTACAGAGGCTCCCTGAGACAGTCAACTTAGAATTCAACATAACATAGAGTGGGGAGCCCCAAACAGAGGTAGATGAATTCCCTCGTCCCAAGAAGAAATTTAGGTGAGAAGAATCAACCAAACATATAGTCCTGGTGCTATTATTGGAACAGCTAAAGGTTCAGCGTTCCTGCCACAGGGCGTGACTTGCCAACCATCCAAGGTCCCACTGTGACTTGCCAAAGTCCCACCGTGACTTGCTGAGCTGTCCAAGGTCCCACCACTTCAATTCACTGGAGGCATAGTTACACTGAGTTTGGGGTCGGCAGGCCGAACAGAGAGCTGAGTTGGTGGGGTGCCTGCATCAACCAGTAGTGAGTGACAGGAGGGGAGCCATTCCACAGAAAGGGGGACTCTGCTGGATGACATTCTGGGACTGGACAGGACTGGCAAGTACAAGGGGCATCAGTGACTTCAGTCCGTTGTTCCCTTCCCAAATGGATTGGTGGAGTGAGGT